TGGATGATGGATCAACTGGCACCATGGTCTCTGATGGTAAAGAATGCTGCCCACATTCAATTGTGACAAGTTTGTGGCACTTCTTGTGAACTGAGAGTTTACAGTTGGTGCACTTATACACCTGGTGGCCAAGTCCCCCTACATGGTCTGTGCAGACAGTACAATGAGCTCGCCTGCTGAAGTGTTTGGCCTGAAAAGTGTGGCCATTCACACAATACAGCTTTCTCCAGTGGCCTGCAGCTCTGTGGCAGATGGATTTCTCTCCTCCCGGACAAGGCACTTTAGGATGTTCTGGTATACAGGGCGATGAGTGAATTAAGAGCTCAGAAAGCCTAATGGCCTCTTCTAACTCCAACTGAGGTGACACAGTATACAGGTCTCCTTCCTCCTCTACCCAGTGTGTGGTGAAAAGCTGTTTATTGTCCAAACACCACACATCTCAATCTTTATCACACAGGCCCTCAAAGTGGATGGAATTCGCAAGAGACCTTGTCATGATGTCTCTTCCCAAAATCAGAGCCAATCGGGTAGAGGTGTGGGTGGTGGAGGTGCCTGAGAAGAAGGGACCATAGATGGGTTGGCTGCCCAGGGAAACAGGCAGGCAGGGCTTAGAGAAGGAGAGTGACCTGACTGCCTGCAGGGACCACACTGGCCGGAATTCTGCAAGGCTCTCTGAGAAGTTGTTTCTAGTAGTGGCGGCCAGGCCTGGATGGATGAACACCAGGCTTCTCAGTGTCTCTTGAGGGCCAGTAGCTGTGACTTCAGTCTCACCCCCTGGACTTTGACTCTCTAGGTTTTCTGTGCCCGGCTCTGGGGAGACCTTCCCAGAGCTACTGGGTGTTTCTGGGCCTGGTGATACTTGCCCTGTGCTCTTCCCAGTTTCTGTGCCATTGGTATTTGGGCTTAGGGAGACTTCCCTGGGGTACCTTGATTTTGGTAGGTCACTGGTAGTCACTCCCAGGGAGACCATCCCTGGGGTGTCTGTGACAGTTGTGCAGCATCTGGATGGAGTCAACCGTCTTCTTAATCTTTCACAGATACTTTTTCTACCTGGGGTACTGAGGCTGCAGCCTCTTGAAGTACAGAAGCAGCTCAGCATGTTCGCTGTTGACTGTCTCCAGCCAAGTGAGCTTGGGAGATGGCTGTTACTAGATTGTGACACCCATTAACAAGGGTTCCAAGTTCTGTTTGGAGATGTTGCCAAGGAAGTGAGCTCATGTCTTGGGGGTTCCATAACCTGAGTCTCCATGTAATAGAAAAGCCTATAGCCCTGTAGGGCTAGAGACCCCAAGGCAGGGAGAGATGAGCCCCTCCCCAAAGGAGTTCAGATAGCTGGCAGAACAGGCTTAACCACCCATAAAAAGCTGACAGTCTGCTGAGGTTACACCTCCTCTTCATGCTGTACCCTGCAAAGCTTGGTTTGCTAAGATCAAAAGGAAAAAGAACCTTGGCCCTAAGATGTAAAGAGCCCCTGAAAAGACCCTTCCCTGTTGTCCCTAGTAATGAGCTAAGTTAATCATTAACCAATCAAGCAGGGCCGCCCTCAGCCCAGAGGCAGGATAGGCCCCAACTACTAGAAAACCGGCATCTTGAGCCCCCCTGCAATGGTGGTTCCATTTCCAGCACCCCTGCCTGTCTCTCTGTGAGAAGGTAGCTGTACTCTTGCATTCTTTCTGAATAAATGTACAACTTCGCTTCTATGCTTTTGGTCTCTATCTGATTCTTCCACAACCGTCTGCATCATAGGGAGTCAGGCCTGGGACTGTGGGGACTCTCCCCCTGTCTCCGCCCGTGACAGCAATTTTTTCTTCATACTAAATAAATCAGTGGCAACTT